TGCAAAGAGACTTTATAGAAAGCACATTAAGTTATTTCTATTAATGTAAATCGCTTACTGAGCTTAATTTATAAATTAAACTCCATCACAGATATATGTATATATATATATATTTGTCTGAAAAAAATATAGTATTTGCTAGGACTTGGTGCTGTCAGGCATCCACAGAGGTCCTTGGAACACACACCTCTCAGTAAGGGGGGAATACTGTATTTGCTCTGTGGCCTGGGGTGTGTCACTCAACTTCTCAAAGCCTTAGTCTTCTCACCTGTACAATGGGAATAATAACACTACTAATCTGCAGGGCTGCTGCAAGGACAAGATGAAGTCCAGGTGTGAAGTGGCTGGGAGCAAGAGGAAATTCAAGCATGTGGCTCCCTTTTGCTCTTGCCTTGGGTAAGGTCAACTCTGAAAATGGGTGACAGTATCTTCTTTTCCTCTCCTCTCTCTCCCTCTTTGGACCTTCGGCTCCCCACTCTACTTCAGGAAGGTCTGTGATGGGACTGAACGTGGCTTGAGCTCTAGTGTGGCAAAGTCACCAAGGATGAGCAGAGGGTGTGGGGAGTGGGAGGGTCCAGGTGTCAGGGAGGAAAGGGCTCCTGGATCCGTTCCCCTCCCTCCTTCAGAGCAGAGCTCCTGCAGCCTTGGTACGTGATCCTCCTCCTTGTGTTTCCTAAAACCATGTTCTGTATCTAAGGGCTGCTTCTCCTGGTCTCTGGTCAATAAAACAATGACCATCTCTGGATGGGACATGTGCTCCTGGTGGTCCCATCAAATTACCGTGCACTGGGTTCAGTGAGAAGGGAGAGATTTGGATGCAAATTTAGTTAGGAATGATGGTCTAGGTGGGTTCCCCAAAGTGACTTAATTAGGGTTTCTTTTTCTTCTTTTGAATAAAAAAAATGGAGATGGGCACCCCTGTGCTGGTATAGTGGAGCCTCAGGGCCATCGGGGCCCCAGAATCCTTTCTCTATCATTCAGTCTCTAGTTGGCTGTCCTGCCCCTCCGCAGTCCTGGAGAAGGGAGGGCCATGGGCAGTTGCTCAGCCTGCTCCCTTTTCAGAGGCTTTCCTGGAAGTCTCACCCAACACCCACCCACACACATCTCATTGACTGTGTCATATGGCCACCCACGTGAGGGGTGCCAGGACATCTGGGAAGTGTTCTGCAAGGGCTCCACAAATATCAGCTGTTGCCATCCTGAGGTGGGGCCAAGTCCACATCAGCAGAGGTTGATAGTTTCTTCTGGGTAATTTTGGGACTATTGTCTCAGGATGGGAATGGCTGATCACTAGGGAGGACACATTTTCCCTTTTAGGATGTTTGACTAAAAGGACGTGGAGAGAAGGTTCCAGTAAGGGGCTGAGGGCATCAGCGGTAGATGGGCTCAGTAGAAAGAGCTGCCTGGAGGAGGAGTCCCTGAGTCCCTGGCAGCAGCTTTGTTCTGACTGAGCCAGGGCCACTCTCAGTGCTCACTGAGGCCATCGCCACAGCCCTTCCTAAGGGAAATGCGTGTGTTCTCCAGACAGCCGTGTTCTGTCCCAGGTGACCTTGCGCCACCCCTTGGTCCTTGGTTTCAGAGGATTGGAGGAAAGGCTGGCACCTAACCCACGAGCAGTCAACCTGTAGGCTGTACCAACCATTGGCTCAAAACCCAAGCCTGGGCCATTCAGACTGCCCAGCCCAGGATCCCCATCCGACTGTCTGAAAAGAACTTGCAGGTGGAGGAGAACAAAATGAAATGGACGCTTGGAGAAGCGTCCTGCTGCTGGGCAGGTGGGCTGGTCCTGGATCCCACATGGGCCCCCAGCAGCCTGGGCTGTGGGGCTCCAGCTTTCCTTGAGCTTCCCTCCTCTTCCCACCACCAACTCTCCCCACTTGAGCAAGGTCGAGGGGACTTCCCCAGGCAACCAGACATGGGCAAGGTCACCAGGTGCTTCAGAAGGAAATCAGCTGGTTCTGATGATGGAATTAAAGCCAAGCTCTTGGAAGTTCATTCTGGTAAGGATCTGGCATTGTTGTGAATTTTCTGGCCAATTCATTTAAAAAGTTCAACAGTGAACGTAATTATTTACTTATGTTTGCAGATATGAATCTGAATTTTGGTAGAACACAGCGGCAGCATCAAACAATGTTCATATCCAATTAAGAAATCCATGGAGCAGAAATGAACTTGGAATTGATGGTGGTACATATATCATTGAAAGTCGGGAGAAGACAAGCTGTGACAGTGCCTCAATTGTAATAGAGACAGTCATCTATCTATCTACCTATCATCTCCCTGTCTATCCATGCCCACATAAAGGGTAATTACACTGTGATATTTGGAGGCAAAGGTGATGATGAATATAAAATATACTTCAGCAGAACCAGGTCCGGGCACCTGGCCCGTGCAAATTTTAAAGGGGCACACACACAAAATCAATAATCAAGGCAAATAATATTTTTAAACAATAAAGTCGAAATTAATGGAAAAGTCCCCAATGAACAAAATAGCAACAGTTTAAATAAAGGCAGGATCAGTTTTATTGATTTTTCTTTTTGCCTCTGGCTCCAATTTGGCTTGGCACATCACAGCACAGCAGTATATTTTCTCCTTACACTGTCTGTCATCAGTAGAATTTTTTAATGTTTGGGTTTTTGAAGAATTACTTAGTAAATCATTTGAAGTGTTTGCAATGGGATTGAACATTTTGTAAATGAGTCCTCTAAATTTTGTTCAAAAGCAATTTAAAGGTTTTTTTTGTTTTGTTTTGTTTTGTTTGGATTTTACTGTAGAATAATTTGCATAAGAATTATTTTTTTCTTAGAGTTTAGTAGAATTTTCTGAAACTATCAAAGCCTAATGTATTTTTTTCCTGCAGTCCTACATTTTAAAAATTGTGGTAAAATGCACATAAATATTACTATTTTAACCACTCAAAAGAATATAATTCAGGGGCATTAAGTACATTCACAATATTGTGCAAGCATCACCACAACATAGTTCCAGAACATTCTTATCACTCTGAGTGGAAATGCTGTTGCTAATAACCAGTCACTCCCTGCTATCCCCTCTCCCACAATCCCCTGGCAAACACCAGTCTGCTTTTTTGTCTCTATGGGTTTGCTTATTTTGGACATTTCATACAAATGGAAATTTAAAATATTATGTCTGGCTTTGTGTGTGTGTATGTAGTATTGGGCACTGAACTGAGGGGACTCTACTACTGAGCTACTCACTCCTCTTTTTATATTTTATTTTTGGACACAGGGTCTTGCTAAGTTGCTGAGGCTGACCTTGAACTTGCCATCTTCCTGCCTCAGCCTCCTGAGTAGCTGAGATTACAGGCGAGTACCACCTGGCCCTGCTGGCTGCTTTCACTTGGCATCCTGTTTTCAAGATTCATCCATGTCATGGCACTGTTCAGCAATGATGACTGATGTCGGTGAAATATCAGTTGCAGCACTGTGGCTAACCAACGATACAGCTATACCTCAGGAAAAAAATCCTTCTAGTAGAATCTGGAAGAGGCTGTATGCACAGAGATCTCCAAAACGTGGTTTTGGATGACAAAAGCAAGTTATGGAACAAAAAGCATATCCTATCATGAAAATCTTCGGAGTGTTCAACATGTGTGCCAGAATAAATGTTAACTCTTGGAACTTTTTTTTAAATCAGATCTCAGGTATTGAAAACAATTTTTTAGCAAATTTCATTTATTGCACATTGGACAACTCAAAAGTCAGGGAGGACCTGAACAAATTAAATAATGAGATCTCAAGTGGTGGGGAAGATAGAGTTTAGAAACCTATACATTTTTTTTTTTCAGATGTGGGAAAGATATCTTGATGGTACTCTGATTTCTAATTGGGCAAATTTATATTTTGTAAGTTGGATGAAAGGCAAGACGGAAGGCTTATGGTTTTGTGGCATCCACAGTTGGAAACGAGTTGAATAATGACAAAGTCAACAGCTTGTGTAATGAGTGTTCACCTCTCATAATATTTGTAAAAGAAAGATATTTTAAGTGGAGGTAAAAAGACACCCCCTGTGAAAACACATGGGCTGAAATAGTTAACTCTTTCCTACATGAAGAAGTTAGAACTGAGAATATCCTCCATTTAGCAAAATGTGCTCTGAGCTCCCCAGGTGCCTCTGTAGAGCAACTGTATTTTCATTCAAAATATTATGATCTACCTAGAAAAGCTCATGACGGGTGTCAACAATTCCCATGTTATTAACCATAATATGCAACTCAGAGATGATTACGGGTAATTCTTTGTGGGGGGGACATTCCGCACCTTAAAAAAGCACATTCCTTAGAAAAATATTTGGGACACAATATTAGAAACAGAAATAGCTAAGAAACTGATTAAAATATGTGAATAGGTACCTAAATCATTCTTTCTTTGGTTATTTTTACTGCTCAGATAATAAAGAGTTTTTTAAAAAAAATATACAATGTGCCCTGGTGTTACTTTTTAAAATAAGTCTTTATTTTCAGAGCAGCTTTGTATTTACACACACAACTGTGATGATGGTGCAGAGAACTTGGTTACTCTTCACCGGGCTCCGCGGTGCATCTTTCCTTAGGTGCATTATTACAATGAATGAGCCAAACTTGACGCTCCCTTATTAAGTGAGGTCCCCGCTTTATTCGAGGTTTCCTTAGTGTTTGACTAGTGCTACTTTTGAGCTCTGTGATCCCATCCAGGATACATATGACACTTAGTTGCCATGTCTCCTCAGGCTGCTCTTGGCTATGACATTTTCTCAGATGTCCCTTGTTTTTAGTGACAGTGATGTTTTTGAGGGGTATGGTGAGGTACGTTGTAGGAAATACATTGGATTCTACTGTTTTTCTCGTGATTCACCTGGGTTGTGGCTTTGGATCTCAGCTCCCGTGCTGCTGGTCACCTTGAGGGAGTGTCCTGTCAACTTGACTTACCACGAGGGCTTGGCCTGGACCTGGCTGAGATCTTGTTTCTCCACTGTAGCTGCTCCTCCGTCCTCTCCGTCTCCCTTGGCTGCCCTCATTGGAAGAAATCACTGTGCGGCTCACACTTCAGGAGTGGTTAGTTAGGTATCCGGTCCTTGAGGGAGTGGAGCTGTGGTTGTTATCTGGAAGTCCTCAGCCCTGAAGATTCCTCTCTTCGCTCCATGCCTATTTATTCAATTATCAATTCAGAGCAGCATGGACTCTCAGACATTTATTTTATACTCTGGGTTAGAATTTAATACTTTTTTTTTTATCTTGTTGCTTAGATTGTTCCAGCTTTGGGCTGTTAGGAACTTTGGTTCTTTATGTCCCTTCTGCATTTCCTCTAGCTGTGGATTTTTTTGGTTTTATTTTTTTTAGCACGTTCTTACCTTCTGGAATTACAAGATACACCAGGAGAATCAGCCATTTCTCCAAGGATGGAATGAGGTAAAACCCCAGACTGGGCTCTCCTGCTCCTGAGCTGTGGCTTCTGGGCTCATTAAGCCGTGAGAGCAAGGAAACGCATGCAGGCTGGGCCATTTAGGAACAAGTATCTAAAGATATTTCTGCAGTAACCATCTATGATTATATTAAGCTAAACACGAGTCCACATGGTGGCTGTGACCCAACCCATGACCACTTGGGCCATTCCAGGCCCTGCCTTGCTTATCTCTCCAACTGTGAGGACTCTGGCTCCTTCCTGCCACCACCCATTTATAACTGTATAATTCCATGCAGATGGTCCATGACTTAGGATGTTTTTAGTTACGATTTTTCGTTATTCTGGTGCTAACTCCTGGGCTCAAGTGATTCCCGTGCCTCAGCCTCTCAGGGCTTCTGTTTCCAGCACACGCTACCACACCCAGCTCAACTGATCATTTTTTGACTTTCTGATGGTATGAAAGCAATACACAACTAGTATTGATATAGGGTTATGTTACCCAGGCTGGTCCCTAACTTGTGATCCTCTTGCTTCGACCTGTGCTTTGAATTTTCATCTTTTTCTAGTGATTTGTGGTATGGTTTTTTCTAGTGATGCCGGCCAGTGGCTGTGAACCACAGCTTCCAGTCAGCCAGGAGACCATGAGGGGCAACGTTGGCTGCTCTATGGTGCAGTGTGAGGCTAAGCTCTATGCTAGGTAGGTCAGGTGTAGTGAACGCACTTTCATTTCAGGATATTTTCAACTTACGATGGGTTTATCAGGATATGGCTCCATCATAAGTTGAGGAGTGTCTGTGTAATACGGTGGTTTCAGAACCGCTGATGGGTGCCTCCATGATGTTATCAGCTAAGGCCCTTTTGCCTTCGTCTTTCAGTTTTAGAAATCCACTCAATCCCAAAGTTACTTCGGTCAGCACCTCTGTCCCCTCCCATTTCAGTAAGGCTGCTTCATACAGTCAGGGTCTTTTGCCACTTTGTATCTTGGGATCCCTCTGGCCTCCTGACTTTTTATTTTCCAATTCTGTGTGCACTGAGCTTCACTTTATGCTGGAAACTTCAGTAGCTTGTGACAAGTGCATGGTGTCATGGTGTCACACAGGCTGGTTTTACTGTCCTGCACAATCCTCCCCCTGTGACCTCTCCCACAAGCCTCTGGAAACCCATCTATTTAGTTTTATTATTTACATATGTGTAGACTATTTAATTAAATTTATTTTAAATTGATATACAAAACCACAAAAATTGTACATATTAATGCAGTATCGTGTGATGTTTTCATACATATATACATTGTGTGACACTTAAATCAGGTTAGACACATCTATCTTCTCAAACCTTTGTCATTTCTTTCTTTTTCTTCTTCTTCTTTTTTTTTTTTTTTATTTTGGTACCCAGGATTGAACTCAGGGGCACTCCACCACTGAGCCATATCCCCAGCCCTATTTTGTATTTTATTTAGAGACAGGGTCTCACTGAGTTGCTTTTTGCCTCGCTGTTGCTGGCTTTGAACTCGTGATCCTCCTGCCTCAGCCTCTGAGCTGCTGGGATTACAGGTGTGTGCCACTGTGCCTGGCTAACAGTTATCATTTTATGGTGAAAACTTTCAAAATCATTTTTTGGGCTTTTTATAATGTGTGGTAAATTATTGTCATCTCTAGTCATTCTACTGTACAATACCAGAACTTCTTGCTCTGCTCTAACTGTAACTTAGGACCCCTTGATTAACCTCGCCCCATTCTCCCCTTCCCTATTCTCCTCACCATTCTACTCTCAGCTCCTGATATTGGTGCTGGGAATCAGGGCTGAGTCCCATTGCCCTCGTGTTAAAGATTGAACACGCGAGAAACGCCAAGGCAAGAGCAAAAAGTTTTATTTCAAAGATAGAACAGAGAAAGAGAGAGGGGGGTCAAAGTTGGCGCCTGAGGAAGTGGGGGCATCTGCCTCTTTTACACACTTTAGATTTCCTTTGTTCTCATGCCCTCCCCCGCCATCCTGCCTATGTGACCTGTGGAGAGCAGTGACTTGGACCATGGTCTTTGACGACCTTGGACCTATGGTGCACTTTGCCCTGGGAACTTTCTGTGCAAAGGTGGGGACAAGATTACCCAGGAGCTATGTTAATGCCCTGCTGAGGAAGTTGGGTGCAAAATCAGGGAACTATATCAGTCTTGACCTTGAGCTCAGACCCCAGCTGCTGGATAGAGAATTGTAAGCATAACAAGATGACCATAATATCTTGCAAGCACTGTGCCCTTCAAGCCGGTCTGCTTTGCAGAAACTTTCTCACAAATAACCTGTAGATGATAAAACCTATATAATAAATGTGCTGTGCTGGCTCTGGATGACTGTTCCTCCATCAGAGATCAGTGCCCCACCTGCTCCCAGCTTTCTCTTTATAAATGTTTGTGTGTCTTTTTTAATCCTCCATCGCCCCTTGTAGATCTTTAGGGTTCGACACCCTGGTCTGGCAGTGACCCAAAAGGTGGAGTAATGTAAGGGTGGGAAAGAAGTGCCCAGGGGTAGGGGCAGAAAGGGAGTCCCCAGGGCTACTCATTAACACCACCTTCTGGGGAGGAACAATCCCCTGGAAGCAGGTAACCTTGGCAATGGGTTGAAGGAGGGAAAGTGTTCTGAAGGTGTGAACATTTTATTTCCTTTCCTTTTGAACCAGTCCCACCTTCCCATTCCCAGCCAATCATACATGACCTAAACCTACACTGACTGTCCTCACCCCAACGTTTTTAGAGTCCACATAAGAGTGAGATCACGTGAAATGTGTGTTTCTGTGTTTAGCTTATTTCACTTCACAGAATGATCTCTAATTTCATCCACATTGTTACAAATGACAAAATTTCATTTCTTATGGCCAAATAATATTCCATTGATTTATGTACCATATTTTCTTTATCCATCTGTGGGTTGATGGACCCTTAGATTGTTTCCATTTCTTGGTTATTGTGAATAGTGTTGCAATGAACGTAGACATGCAGATGTCTCTTTGACACACTGATTTCATTTCTTTTAGAAATATACCCAGTAGTGGGAAGCCATCTCTTTAGTTTTGTCTTTCTCAGAGTATCATATAAATGGAATTTCACAGGCTTTCAGACTGGCTTCTTTCATTTAGTAATATGCGTTTAGTATTCCATTACATGGATACAGCACAGTTTGTTTATCCATGAATCTATTGAAGAACATCTCAGTTGCTTCCAGTTTTTGATGATGATGGATAAAGTTGCTATAAACATTTAGTTTTTTGTATGAACTTAATTGATAAAATCAGTTGAGAAAATGCCCAGGAGCATGATTGCTGGACCCTCTGGTAAAACTCTGTCTAGCTTTGGGGGAATCTGCCAAAATGCCATCTAGAGCGCTGTACCACTTTTCATTACCACACGAAAGCTCCCATTACTCTGTATCATCTCCAGCGGTAGATATTGCCAGTTTGGGGATTTTAGCTATTCTAACAGCTATGTAGCAGTATCTTCGCATTGTTTTAACTTACATTTCCCTAAGACAAACGATGTGAAGCATCTTTTCTTATGCTTCTCTGCCATCTATATGTCTTTTTTGGTGAGGTGTCCAGATCTCTTACTCTTTCTTGATTGGGTTGTCTGTTTTCTTTTTTGGGGGGCGCAGCACAGGGATTGAACTCAAGGGCACTCAACCACTGAGCCACATCCCCAGCCTCATTTTGTGTTTTATTTAGAGACAGGGTCTCACTGAGTTGCTTAGTGCCTCGCTGTTGCTGTGGCTGGCTTTGAACTCATGAGCCTCCTGCCTCAGCCTCTTGAGCCACTGGGATTACAGGTGTGCACCACCATACCAAGTTGGGTTGTCTGGTTTCTTTCTTCCTTTGTTTCTTTCTTTTTTTTTTTTGGTAATGGTTGTCTGTTTTCTTTCTTTCTTTTTTTTTGTTATTTTTTTAGTTGTTGATGGACTTTATTGTCTTTATTTTTATGTGATGCTGAGGATTGAACCCAGTGCCTCATGCATGCTAGGCAAGCACACTACCACTGAGCCACAACCCTAGCCTCTGGTTGTCTGTTTTCTTATTGTTGAGTTTTAAATGCTCTTTGTATAATGTGGATAAAAGTCCTTTATCAGATATGTTTGCAAATATTTTCTCCCAATCTGTGAGTTTTCTTTACTTTTAATTGTTTTCCTTAGAGATATATGTTCTTTCTTAGAAACAATTTTACTTATGAAGATAACATATAAACATTGTACATATCTACGAACATAAACATATTCTGGCAATAGTATATATTTTTTAAAATTGTATGATTTAAATTATTTTAGCACCTTCTTTCACTACTAAAAATACCTGACTTTCACATTCATTTTTGTGATGGCACACTTTGGGGGCGGAGACCAGAAGTAGGTCCAGCCTGGGCGCTTAGGCTGTGGACAGCAGGTAGCTGGGGGCAGGGGTCAGAGATGCCAGATGTCTGTCCTGCTTCAAGTTCTCACTAGCCAGCTTGGCAGCCCCTGCCCTTCCTGGGGGACTGAGGACCTGGTGCTGAGGGACAACAGGCCATCATCTCCAGCCAGGCAGGCCTCCCCCTTCCTCTTACTGTCACTTCCTGTCAAAGTTCTATGCACTGAGGGTGTAGGACCTTGTCCTAGGTGAACTGGTAACTCATTCACAGAGTTGTGCATTCCTACAGGACTTTCCCATGCTCGGCATCTCACACGATCCTCACCTCTGCAGAGCAAGGGACCTTAGTAGCAATTGCTTCATCACCTAGCACTCTTCATCAGAATACAATCTGAGGGGCTGGGGATAGAGCTCAGTTGGTAGAGTGCTGCCCTTGAAATCCCCAGCACCAAAAACAAACAAACAAACAAACAATCAAACAAACAGAATACAATCTAAGAACATCCTACTGCAGACACCCAGGTTTCTGCTTGAGGTATGAGGAAAGGGCTAGGGAGTTAATGCCCCTGAGTGCAGCTGTCAATCAACAACAAATGACAGAAGATAAACAGTGTCCCGCCTCTCTCTCTCTCCAGATGGACAACTTCAAGGCATGTTCTGCAGGCTCTCTTAGACTCTCCCACGGGGACTGAGCTCCAGCTGCCTAGACAGCAGGTAACCTCCTCAGTAACACCACCTTCAGCTTCCTGGGATCCCCTCGCTGCCAACTATTTGCTCTCACATTCTTGTTCCAGCACCTGCTTGTCTCAAGCAGGTGAAGCAGTGAACCAGCAGAAAGCAGGGGACTGACTCTTGGTCTCCTGTTCCTGAACTGGATCTGGACGTTTGTCCCTGTTGGGTCAGCAGAACTCCCTTCCCCTCCCCTTTCATGGGGCTGTGGGCGGGGACTTTCCACCTGGCTGAGGGACCCAAAATGGCCAATCAGAAGCTGACATGGCAACAAACCCCCAACCACCACAGGTTCTGCTGGCTGAGGCCATTGCCCTGTCAATTCAAATCAGCCCTGACCAACCCGCGACAGACAGGATCCCCCTAGACTCAGCTCAGCCAACCTGCTGTCGGTAGCTGCAATTTACACGGCCTGGGCCCTCCTACCTCCAGCTTCCCTGGTTAGCACTGTTCTCGCCCTTCCCGCCCTTGACTTCCCGGCCCTCACCCTTTGGCGGCTGGTGAACCTCGCCCGGGAGCCCCCCAATAAACCTCCTGATCCTGCGCGCCCTTTCTGCTTTACACTTCTGTATCATGAAGTGAGCCTGCTCCATCCGTCATCCAAGAGACACCTGAAGCCACTGTCCTGAAGCCTAAGGTGTTAGGAATAATCAAGATGAGACTGGCCTCAGGGCAAGTTGTGCTTAAATGGCGGATTGGACTTCTCTTAAAGCAGAGATTCTAGGTGTTTCCGTCCAGCAGCCTCAGGAGGGGCGAGGACTCTGGCAGTGAGGTTGGGGCACAGCTGAGGCAGCCATGATAAGCATAAACATTCTGCAAGGCTTGTGTTTTATCTCAAAACGGGTGCACCATTTGTGTTCTATTCTACAATATGTGTAACATACAAAAATAAGCCAGTGTGGGTGTCGCATGCCTGTAATTCCAGCAACTCAGGAGGCTGAGGCAGGAGGATTGCAAGTTCTAAGCCAGCCTCAGCAACTTAGCGAGGCCCTAAGCAAGTGAGCAAGGATTTCTAAACAAAAAACAAAAAGTCCTGGAGAGGATGTGGCTCAGTGGTTAAGTGCCTCTGGGTTCAATCCCTGGTATAATTCTTTTTAAATAATAGAAAAATAATATTCAATGCCTGGAAATGAAATTGACCAAATCAAACTATTATATGTACATGTTTGAAGATGTAACAAGGAATCTCACTGTTGTCCATAATTAGAATGCACTGATAATAAGGAAAACAAAACCAAAAAATGATGTTTGAATTTACTGACCATCAAGTAAGCGTGGGCTCCAGGAGGAGGCCCTGGTTTCCCTCCATGCTGTCCAGCTGGGGGAGGTCAGCAGGGAGAGGATAGGGTGCTGGAGGCCATGGTCACTGTACTGATCACACCTCCTCTTTCTTCATTTAACTTGCGTGAGTGATTTCTGCCTGTTGGCCACCCAGGGGCTAGACCACGACCTGCTGGACCCTTCTCCAGTTGTTGAATATTTGGTCCATTCTGATGGTAAACACAACTGTGATGCTCATCTTCATATATAAAACTGGACACCATTTTTTTGGTGAATCTTAGGAGAGGACTGGCTCTGGAGCCAGAGTACCAAGCTTACTAGTGCTGCCCCTCCAGCAGTGGGACCGCAGTGACCTTGGGTAAGTGACAAGAGGCCACCCCTCAGTCTCTCAGGGTATGGGAAAAGCCCAGCGCAGGAGCCCTGGGAGCCTGGGAGAGGACTCAGCTGAGGGGAGCTGGGCGGTCAGCGCCGTGGCCTGCTTGCCTTGGACCCTCCTCTCCATCTGCTTTCTGCACTGATACTGTGTCAGAGGCTGGGGTCTGGAACATCTGCTGCTGCGGCTTCCTGCTTTTGTAGAGGAGGAGACAGAGGCCCACAGAGACACAGCCAGGATCTCACAGAGACTCAGAGACCCTGAGAATGATGCCTCCAGGCCCAGTCTCCTCACCGTGCTGGACTGGAGGCCAAAGCCCCGCCCACTCTTGTTCTGATGCTTGTATCCCTTGCCCTCTCCCTTGCCCCAGGATAGAGTCAGGCCTGGAGCCCTCCCGGATGTGACCAGAAGACGGGCAGTTCCTGGGAGGACTGCATGCGTGGCCTGGTGGGGGAGCGGTTCCCCAAACACAGAGCGGGCTGTTTGCAGAAGGGAGCTCCTACCCGGCACTGTCCTCAAGGGGCATTTAAATTGAGTGGACAGACTTGCTGCTCACTAAGGGGTGTCCTCAGACAAAGGCGACATCCGACTATGGATATGGGAACTGTGGTGAGCCTAGGCAGGTGCCAGCCCTGTGTCGGTCCCCATGGGCACTGTCCCAGGGAAGGGAAGGCTCAGCTCCCTCAGCCACTGATAATGAACCCCAGAAACTCACATCACCCTCACCCAACCTGGCTTCCTGTTTGTAAGCCTTTTGCTGTCCCTGATCTTGTGAGTCCCTCACCCTGGGCTCAAGGGGATGTCGGCCTTCTTTGCATTTTATAGATGGGGAAGCTGAGCCTCGAAGACGTCACACGAATTGCCCACGTGTGGCAGTCCCTAGGCACTGTTCCTAAACCCACCAATGGCTTCTTCCGCCAGGAGCTGCAGCTCAGCCGAGAGCTTCCCCTGGCAGGAGGAACGCGCTCAGCCCGAGGTGACACCTCTAGAAACACCCCAATTATTGAAGCTCAGGAGCTGGGGATGAATCAATACGGCAGCTTCTCAGCCTTCCAGCGGGTGCGCAGCTCTGAGGCAGGTTCAGCACCATCCCAGGCAGTCAGTCCCCTGGGGATGGCGTTCCAGTTGCCCGCGGTCGCAGCCCACTCCACGCACGCAGCATTTCAGCTGCCTTCCGCCCTGCTTCTGCTCCTGGCTCCTGTGCAGCCTTCCAGGTCTCTGCCCAAGTCCCAGCCTTAGGTCTGCTGGGGAGGCTGGAGGGTGGGTGGGAAATGACACTGGAACCCAGACACTTAGTCCCTTAGGAATGCCAGGATTCCAGCTCACACCCGATTCCACTGTAGCTGTTTTCAGGACCTGGGCAGGAGCTCTGCAGTGAGCCAGAGGAGAGCCCTAAGTTGCGCACAGTTTGTGACCACAGTTATGTCAACTTAGGTGTCCAGCTTGAGGGTGAGGGTAGGGAGCAGACACACCTGTGGATGGTTGGGTTTGAGTGGTAGGATTAGGGGTGGGCCTCTTCTGCCTCCCTGATGAGCATCAGTTTGGCGTGGGCTTGAGGCATGGCTCCATCGCGGTCCGGTGGCCATTGGGAGCGTCATCCCACGCCAGAGTGCTCAGAGGACATGTGGGCAGCACCAGCTCACATGGTCAGCTCAGCGCCCTCCCCTAGCTGCTCCCTGAGTCAACACCCACCTCCCAGCTAGTGTCCAGGCTGCAGGGGCTCTGGACAGCAAGGGCCTGGAAGCTGGATGCTCAGTGCCTGGATGACTCCAAGTCACCACCTCTTGGCCACAGAGGGGAAACACTTGGGGCTCTCCACTCTAGCGGCCACCTCCCACGTCTCAGTGTCAGGAGCATCGTTGGCCTCACTGGTGCCCTAATGGGGGGAGTTAGCCAGAGCTCGGTGTTGCTTTGTCTGATGTGCAGGCGGAGCCCACCTGTGGTGGGAGACCCAGGAAGCAGGTATGGCCACACTGTGTTTGGCTTATTCATCTCCCAAATCAGGGCTGGTGAAACTTTACCCAGCCACCACTCTGTAGTGACCATTTTTTATGAAAAATTTAGTGAGCGGAGAAGCAGTGGTTGCGCTGTGGGAATGCTCCATGCTTGGTGACAGTGGTAGATGAAGCCTCTGGGAGAAGAGCAGCTCCCCCAGGGGTTTTGGGTACAGGGAGAAATATGTGGACCCCCCAAGACCCAGGAAACCTTGGAGACCTTCTTCCAGAATTGCTCTTCCCAGACCCACCCTACTCTGTTCATGATCCAGCTGGCCATGACCCGCACAGCCATCAGTTCAGACACTGGAGAGGGGCCATGGGGTGCTGGGAGCCATTAGCCAAGTAGGTATGACAATTTCCTTGCCAGCGTACCCCATGTTGCTTAGTGGAAGGACTCGTGGAAATAGGACATTTTGCAGTGACATTGCATCTAAGGTGACCTTGCTCAAGGACCAGGGCGGATCCGGGTTTAGGGTGTTCCCGGTTTAGGATAATCCGGGTTTAGGGCGTTCCAGGTTTAAGGTTATTCCTGCTGGGAATAGGGCGTATCCTGCTGCCTGAGTTCCCCTTGAGTTCTCACGGGATTCAGACAGTATTTTTTGGGAGACAGAAGCCCAGTGGGGGTGGATTTGGGCAGAGAACGTGGATTTCCCCAGAACGTGATTGTAGACGGCTGGTGTGAGTTCGGGAATAAAGAGTTGCTGTTTGAATCTACAAGCTGTGTGGTGGCTCGTGATTGTGTGCCCAGCCAGACTGCGGCAATGGGGGATTAGAAAAGACAAACAGACTCGCACAGAGAGAAAACTGAGTCCAGGTGGGACATTATACCTTGATGGAGATGCAGTGACCCAGACACGTTTATTCCATAGGTTTTTTTCATCAAAAGGTTGTTTGTGGGAAAGTGTCTGCAAAGCAGGCAGGCTTGAAGTTCACAGCGCTGACGAGACATTATAGTGACCTTGCTATACTCAGAATCCTCTATCCCTGGGAGCCAGTGTCTGAGTTTTTGTACAGAGTGACAACAGGCCGGCATCGCCATAGCAACTGGGCAATGTTAAGCAGTACTTTTGCGCAGGGGGATCCCAGCGCACGTGCACCACAACCACGAGGCAGTCAGACCCTGTCACTGCTCCCCACACTGCTCCACGACTTCCAGGGCTCCCTTCTATCCCAAACATAAAGTCAGATGCCTGTGCCCAACTTTCCTATCCCACCTGGCTCTGACCTGTGTCCCAGATAACCTTTCAAGGAAGGTTTAGGGGAGAGAGGCCTCACTCCTAGGGCCCAGCCCTGCCTCAGACTGTCCACCTTATGTCCTCCACTGCTCCTGGCCCATCCTCCACTGCTCCTGGCCCGGGCATGGGCGCAGCCAGAGGTCCTTGGAATTGAGCTGTAGGTCCTGCAGGAAATTCAAGTCAGTTCCAGTGAAGGCTGAGTGCTGCTTGGAGCTGGCCCTTCCCATACATCCTGTCACCCAGAACGGTGACCCCCAATGTGAGGTGTGCCAAAACTTCCCAGGTCAAGTCTGTCCACCTACCAGGAACATACTGGAGCCGTCTGTGAGGCTCTGCAGGACAATCTGTTGCTTCTGACCTCAGCAGGGGCAGATGCAGCCTCATTCCTACCCTACCTGGGGAGTGTGGCCCGCTGAACACCCACTCACCCCCTATTCATTTAACAAACTGCAAGAAGCCCCTTCTGTGAATAGGTGCCGGGTTCAGGCCCAACTCAGTCCATCGGAGCTCGCAGCCTAGTGGGAAAGGTAGCGCACACCTGCACAGCGGGGCTGCGGCCTGAGAGGAAGTCTCTGTGAAGGGGCTGGCGGTGGGCGGAACCCTGGTGGAAAGGTAAGAAGGGACTCTAAAGGTGCTTCAGGAGGGCGGGGTGTGGGGGTAGGTCCGGCTCCACCAGCGACATCTGAGACCCAACGGTAAGGACCACCTGGAGGCCTCTATGAGCAATGCCCTGTCACCCACCAGGACTGCTCCTTCCCCACCCAGCCTCAGGCGGTCCTGACGGCCACTCTGTCTTCCCCTTGCTTGCTCTCAGTCTCATGGCCAGATCGCCTTTGAGCCCCCTCTCCCCAGTCGCCTGAGTGCTGCAGACCTCCTTCAGTGGGGCTCTGGCTGCACCCTGCCCACTCACTACCCAACAGGTAGAGTCTGGTATTCCCATGTGGACAAAAACCTCACATGGAATGTCACCTCCTAGCAGCCCATCATCTCACTGATGGGTCTGCTTACCAGGTGGGACATTCAAGGACAAAGTACCACTGTCATTAGCAAAAACACTTAGCATCAGGCAAGGGCTCCCCCAGAGCCATACACAGACACACATGTGGGCATCTATGTCAACATGATTACACTAACACATACTGCGTAACACACCAGGTGCCGAGTGCCAGTCCCACAGCACACCTGTGACATAGCCCCGTCCAGGGCTGTGGGCTCAGGCAGCCGGGGTTTGCCTCCTAGCTCTGAAACTCTCCAGGTTGCTGGGAGCCATTAGCCAAGTAGGTATGACAATTTCCTTGCCAGCGTACCCCATGTTGCTTAGTGGAAGGACTCATGGAAATAGGACATTTTGCAGTGACATTGCATGTAGGTGACCTTGCTCAAGGACCAGGGCGGATTAGGGTGTTCCCGGTTTAGGATAATCGGGTTTAGGGTGTTCCCAGTTTAGGTTCCAGGTTTAAGATTATTCCTGCTGGGAATAGGGCATATCCTGCTGCCTGAGTTCCCCTTGAGTTCTCACGGGATTCAGACAGTATTTTTTGGGAGACAGAAGCCCAGTGGATGTGGATTTGGGCAGAGAATGTGGATTTCCCCAGAACGTGATTGTAGACGGCTGGTGTGAGTTTGGGAATAAAGAGTTGCTGTTTGAATCTACAAGCTGTGTGGTGGCTCGTGATTGTGTGCCCAGCCAGACTGCGGCACCAGGTGAGTCACTTCGGCTTGGGCATTTGCCTTCTCCTCTGTCTAGTGAGAGCTGAAGTGTTTTCGCATGGCTGTGGAGGGCCGAGGGGGCCCAGCGTGCGTAGTGCTGGGCCTCAGCCTCCTTCAGGGCCAGGGGGACCTGCTGCTATTGGGAAGAACACACATGGTGGAGCACAGCCCAGAGTCGAGGTCCCCTCACGCTCTTCATCACCAGCTCCTGACGCTCTGTCAGGTTTTCTTGGATGACAGCCTCCAGGTTCCCTGAGCAGGGCTTGGTGGCTTTCTCTGGACTCCTGCACAGCAGGCCCTTCCTCTTTCCCTTCCATGTTACAATCCTGCAAGGGAGAGGAGGGAGAATCAGGGCCAGAGATGAGGTCTGGGGATGACTTGGTTCTGGTTCCAGCCCTCCCTGAGGCCGGCTACAACTCCCTGACCTTTCCAAACCACATTCACGATTTTCCAGAAAATTCCCTGTTGTGAGTAAATTGCTTTGGTTGGTTTCTGTTACTTGCAGCCCAAACCAGTCCAGAGCCAGGTGAAGGAGATGGAGCTTGTCCCCTTCCTAGGGCTGAGGCCAGTGCAGGGACAGGCAGGTAAACAGGCCATGCCATGCCTGGGGCAGGAGGCCCGGCCGCAGGAGCATTGGGCAGGGGCAGGAGCCAAGCTTAGGTGAAGGGAAGGGACAGGGAGGGGACAGCAGCACCCCAAAAGCCAAGAGCCTGGCATATTACATACGCCCACCTCAACATTATGATGCCGATGTGAGCAGTGACCGGAATAAGTTCTGCGCTGAGACTGACCCCAGGCCGTGCCCGTGCTCTGCAGGGCCTGTGCTTCTCCCTCCTGGTCACAGTGCAGACACCACTGTTCCCAGTTCAGGGAGGACCCCAGGCACAGGCAAACCGCCCTTCCTGGTCCAACTTAGGATTTTTGTACTTCACGGTGGCTTCCATACCATGCGCACGTGGAAGCCACACAGCCACTCAGGTTTTCCCTTTCAGCGCGTTTTCGATGACTCACACGAGCCGTTGGGCACTTCTTATACCAGAGGCTTGCGTAAGATGCTTTTGCCCAACCGCAGGCCAACGTCAGCGTTCTGAGCACGCTTAAGGAGGGCAGGCGAGGCAAGCCTGTGATTGCCGCAGTCCGGCTGCAGCAAAATAACCCCGGGGGGGTGACGAATAACTTGTGTAGATTGATACAGCAGGAGTAGGAACCCTTTATTGCAGGACAGGAGCAGTATTTATACATTCCACACAGCTTATCTAATTAGCATAAACTAGATACATCAGTCAACCAATCAGGAATCTCCACACTTAATGGCTTGCTTTTGTTACTTCTCAAACCACTCCCTCTGGCATTTTGCCAGGCACCATCCAGACTTATTTACGAACTCTAACATTCCCCTGGCAAAATGCCAGGTGTCATTTTGACTTGTTTACAGACTCTAACATGTGATGTCGGCTGGGGTGTCAACACGTTTTCAACTTACGGATTATTTTCTTCCTACACTGGGTTTGCCAGGATGCACCTCGCCATGAACTGAGCAGCATCTGCATCGACACCCCCCCCCCTTGAGGCCATAGAGAGGCTGTGGAGAAAAGGGGAGAAGGAGGTACTGATGGCCTCCACAGAGGATGGGAGGGCCCTGCTCCGCAGCAGGGGAAGGCTGCCTGAGAAAGGGGCTGCAGGGCGGGTTAGGGATACAGGGGGGAGCCCGCAGCTAGTGCCTGAGCAAAGGACAGAGCGGGGCTTCAGCACAGCTCAGGCAGAGGTTGGATGGAGCCTTTCTGGGCCCTGTGGGCCTCTGGTAGGAGTCGTTGCACTGGGGGTGCCAGGGAAGCACTGGGGGCCTGGGGAGCTAACCTCCCCCATCCACCACCCATGCGTCTGATCCTGACCTTAAAACATGCATACGCATATCTATAGAGGGGGACAGAGGCAAGAGAGAGGAGGCACTTGGTGCCAGGCACCGCAGCAGTGCTCAGCATCATCTCATTTAACTCTTTCACGACCATCCGGCCAGGCAAACAGTCTTATTCTCATTCTTCAGAGGAAGAAATCAGGACTCAGAAAGTGAGGCCATATGTCCAAGGCCACACAGCCAATAAGTGGCCTGAGAGGCACCATACCATACCAATACCGCCCACACCAGCCTTCTGCCAGAAACTCAGCCTGTGGCAGCCAGCAGAGGTAGCCTGGGGCCTGCTGGACACAGCTCATGCACTTCCCTCACCACACACCGCATCTCCCTCCCTCCCCCACTCTGTGTCCAGTTTTTCTGCCTCTCAGAACTTACTCCTCTTGGTTTACACTTCGCGTTCTAGCGAGTGGAAAGCTATGAGGAGCACTGATCAGTCAGAACACATCAGACGTTTCTGTTGGTGTCTGCTTCTCTCTCCTACCAGGAAAGTGGAGATGAAGTAAGTGCCTTGGGAGCAGGGTACTGCGGCTCGCCTGTGGTCCCAGCACTTGGAGGCTGAGGCAGGAGGATGCCTTGAGTCAAGGAGTTAGAGGCCGGCAACATAGTGAGACCCTGAGCTGAAAAAAAAAAAAAAAAGGCTTATGGCTCAGAGTTTCTGCTTTAAAGACATGGTGTCTTTCATAGAACATCATGACATTTGACATCCTTAATTCCCTAGTACAAAAAGAGCTAATTTACAGATGAAAATTTGGCTGTCGATCTTGTCTATAGCCCAGTGTATCTTCAAAAAAATTACACACAGGCATTAAAATCAAGAAAACACCTTCATTTCAACTTTAATCTCTTTTCTATAAACT